TGTGTGTGTGTGTGTGTGTGTGTGTGTGTGTGTCTCTCTCTCTCTCTCTCTCTCTCTCTCTCTCTCTCTCTCTCTCTCTCTCTCTCTCTCTCTCTCTCTCTCTCTCTCTCTCTCTCTCTCTCTCTCTTTATATATATATATATATATATATATATATATATATATATATATATATATATATATATATATATATATATATATATATATATATGCTGCGCCTTGGGCCCATTCGGCGTTATATGTTGCACCGCGATTTGAAATTTCTGAGCAATTCAATCATCGACCCAACTTACTGCTATTTTACCATTTGGTGGAATTTTGATTCAAATGCGATAAATTCAATTATTTCTCAAAAGCAGCGTCAAAATAAAATGATTATTTTTGCAGTGTCGAACAAAATATATAAAGAACTAGGTCTATCTATATGTTATGGGCATAATTTTATATTCGTCCTTGTGCAATTCTTACCTGTACAATTTTGATCTGCGCAATTGTTGTCGACAGCAATTGCAGCAACCCATAAGATAACAAAACCTGAGAGGAAATTGCAATTCGAAGTTTGTGTCATTCTTACCCATTGATTGATACGAATCATTTCAACTAGAAATGAAAGTATATAGGAAAACATTGACAGGTACTAAATATAACGCCCCCCCAGCCCCCCCCCCCCCCCCCCCCCCCCCCCCCGCCCGGTACGCCTATGCATATATATAAGCAAAACGATTTCAGCTGAACAACCGAACAGCGGGTAATTAATTATTCCTGTGAAATTGAATAAATTAACATGAAACAACATGAGGTGTTCCGGTTGTCTTTTATATAATCATGAGTGATGTACTTTAAATTAAATAACAAAATAAAAAATTGTGAAGATAAGTCACAGTCCATGTCTTAGAATAGAGTTCAAAGGATGTTTACACGCTGCGATTTGTCGTTGTACGATTCATAATCTGGTGTATGAAAATTGATGCTGACGCAACAATTTTGCCGTTACATTTAGTTTATTGCGAAATTTGAAATGCAACCGCTTTACGTGTGCTTATTTTATTACATACGCCAGTCGAATACGAATCCAACACGACAAATCGTAGCGTATAAACATACTTTATTGATATATGCGGCTCCAGAGTGTATACAACACTAGCTCTATACCATTTGTCCATCGATCTATATATATAATCAATGAGATATCAAAATGCTTCGCTCAGGATATACAAATAAAATGCAAACAAGTCATAGTCACAGAACACGCCAGATACGAAGACAACTTATCATATACGAAGGCAACTTATCATGCCCGGTTACAGCTACTATTCATATAAAGTTTAATAAAGCTACAGTACGTACCTACAATTGCCTGGATTGATGAAATAACCTACCTGTATATAGTCAAGCCCATATGCTGATTATTACATTTGGACAGTGTTCTCATTTGAAAGTCAAGTATTTCTAATTTGTCTTTGTGAATATTAAAATCTGTTTAACAACTAACGTATAAACCAGTGGGTTGTCCAATGGCAATGATTTTATATGCCATGGTCATGCAAAATTAACAAACGCATGTCTATCAAGATTACTTGTCACATATATTTTATGACAGTTAAGTTTTCAAAGAAAGAGTGCAAGAATGGGAGGAGAGGGCAGAACGTATTAGAGAGAGTGCATCACCAAGAATTCAGCGTATATTAGATATGGCTTCGGAAAAAGGATCATCTGTGTGGCTCACAGCACTTCCCCTAAAAGAACAGGGATTCAACTTGAATAAGAGAGAATTTCGGGACGCCGTAAAGCTGCGCTATGATTGGCCAATCGACGACATCCCCTCCATATGTGTATGTGGGGATACCTTCACGGTTGACCATGCCATGATCTGCAAACGTGGAGGCTTTGCAATTATGCGCCACAATGAGTTAAGAGATCTGGAAGCGGAACTCCTCAACATTGTCTGTAGTGACGTCCAAGTTGAGCCTGTCCTACAAGACATCTCGGGAGAGCAACTAAATGGAGGCTCCAACAGAGCACCTGATGCTAGACTCGACATTCGTGCGCGTGGGTTCTGGAAAAGTCAACGATCAGCCTTTTTTGATGTAAGGGTTTGTCACCCCAATGCTGATTCGTACAAGGACCTGGAGCTACGCCAAGTCTACAAGATACATGAAAACGAGAAGAAGTGCCTATATGCAAGGAGAGTCCTCGAAATAGAGCAAGGAACATTTACGCCATTCGTATTCACCACCACAGGCGGTATGGGTAAAGAATGTGTGAGATACCATAGTTGATTGGCAGAGTTGGTAGCCATAAAGAAAGGCGAAGATTATGCGACAACTATGAGTTGGATAAGAGCCAGAACCTCATTCGCTTTATTGAGGGGTTCAAGGGCAAGGAAAATCATGTATGATATTAAGAACATTGATTTCAACATTGAGAACGCAGAGAGTGCTATCTCTCAAACATTTTAGATTGTACATATACAAAGTTTAGTTGTTTAGTTATTTAGCGGAATATGTTAGTTTAGTTATTTAGCTACTTAGCGGTAAATATTTTAATTATGTAGCGGTATATGTTCCAGAGTTTGTTTTTAAAATTTAACTGTACATATCAACAAACATTTAGATACTTTTTTAATTATACCCAAAGAACAGATTATTTAATATAGTCATTGATAACAAAAGCATTATTGTATATATTGAAATAATGAATAAAGTTGTATTATATATATTATTATATATATTATACATTATTATTATTATTATTATTATTATTATTATTATTATTATTATTATAATTAACCAACAATACAATGATGCCTCCACTAAACTATACGATGCATAACACCGTAATAAAATTCTAAATGCATATTGTAACATTGGCCAATGCCCTTCTTACTTTAAGGCGAATTATATAGCTATCAACGTTTGTCAGCGGCTATTGTCCGAAGACACCTCATGTCAACAGTCCAGATAATATTTTTCTCATAATTGTCTCGCTTTCCCATAATACAGTCTTTTGCATTTCTCTACTTATCCAGTGTAAATCTTTCTCGTTGTTAAACAACTCTCTTATATCATCTTTCAGTCTTTTCATCCCTTCTCCTAAACAGCCGATCACCGCTGATATAACTTTCACTTTATATCCGTCCCGTCTTTCCCGTAATTCATAACAAAGGTGTTGGTACTTTCTTCTCTTCTCTTTACCCGTCTTTGTTCGACTCATACGGACATGCCATGTCTATTAGCATAATCTCTTTCTTTCTGCTGTCCTCTAGCGTCAGATCGGGCCTCCTTGCCGTGCAACTCGTCCTCATCCTGCACAAGATGGCGGGTTGTGTAATAAAACGCACAAGATGGCGGGTTGTGTAATTTTTCAGTGCTCTTGTTATGTAGCAATAGTGTTGCTCATTACAACAGTTTTAAGCTTTAATAGCGACGACAACGAACTTACAATCAACGGCAGCTTATTTATAACGTTTGGAATGAATATGAAGCAATTTTCTGGTAGAAATTCGACGTTTCCACGACACCGTTATGGTTGTGTTGGGGAAGCATCATCAACAACAGCGAAGCTACATGCCGGAATCTTATTAGTGAAAGCAAGTCTGACTGCTGTTGGTCTTGTTATATATGCTATCTGGAGATGTCAGTTCCAACCCTGGACCTGGTGTAACTACAGGAGCTGATAAAAGATATTTGATAGATTGCCTGTATTTAAATGCAAGAAGCCTTGTGCATAAAACCAACGAACTTCAAACTCTTGCTGTTGACGTGGATTTAATTGCAGTAACTGAGACGTGGCTTAGACCAGACATTCTCGACTGCGAAATCCTACCTACTAATGATTTTTCTATTCACAGGACACAGAGACAGGGTTTCTCGAGTAGGCGGAGGAGTAATGTTGGCTGTTCGAAAGTCTATTCAAACGATTCGGCGAAGAGATTTGGAGTCTAATTCTGAAGTATTGATTTGTGAGATTCGCCCTAACGCAAAACGCAAATTTTTGGTTGTTTTTTACAGACCACCAGATTCTACGCTCGAATACATGAAGGAACTTAAAAAATCACTCAGACGGTTTGACCAAGTCATCCTATGTGGAGATTTTAATCTCCCTAATATAGATTGGAGCACCGGTGTCGCTAATACTAGTGACAATATCCACACTTATTTTACTAAGCTCATGAGAGATACATAACTATCTATGGCAAATGATAGATTTTCCAACGCGGAACAACAATGTTTTGGATTTGGTTCTTACAAGTATGCCGGACAAAGTAACCAATGTTATTGGGTTTGATGATATATTATCTACCGACCATAAACTTATCAGCTTTGTTTTGAATTTTAATTTACGTAAGAAGCAACTGACTAAACGGTCAGTTTACAATTTTAAAAAAGCTAATTGGAATGGTCTCAATGAAATTCTTAATAACACCCCATGGAATTTATGCTTTGTCTCTGGTGATGTTGACGGCGTCCTGTCATGCTGGATTGACTTTTTCCTTTCAGCCGTTAAAGATAATGTACCATTATGCAAATCGCTGAATAACTACAATCATGCATGGATTGATTCAGAATTACTAATGCTAATTAGAAGAAAAAAACAGACAAAGAAACAAATTACGCAAATCTGGAAGTTCTCATGATTTAATGAAATTTCAAAATCTTCGGCGTGAAACGAAAAGAGTCATGTTGCAGAAAAGGATAGAAATGGCACTGAAAATCAGTAATTCTCTATCCGAAAACCCGAAGCGATTTTGGTCCCTTGTTAAAACGTCGACCATACAGACATTTACTCCAATGATATTGCGGGATGGTTTAAAGGTTGTCACGGACGCGTATGAAAGACTAAATTTGTTAAATTCATTTTTCTCCTCTTCTTTTTCTTGTTTTTTCTCGAACGAACATCCTGCCTAATTTTCAAGGTGTCATGTGTGCTATTGAACCATTGGCAACCATTAATCTTTCTGAGTCCGAAGTTCTCCACGCTCTTGTGGACCTGACAACATCCCAGGAAGACTACTTAAAGAAGCAGCCGAAGTAATTGCTCCAAGCCTCTGTCGGTTATTTAACATGTCCCTCTCACTTGGACATTTCCCTACGACCTGGAAACGAGCCAATGTTACGCCTATTTTTAAGAAAGATGATCCCTCACTTCCTTCAAACTATAGACCCATTTCCTTACTTTGTATTTTATCAAAGGTATTTGAACGATGTGTTTCATACCATTGTCAACATCACCTGTCACAGTTCATCTACGATTTCCAACATGGTTTTCGCAAAGGACGTTCAACAAAATCTCAGCTACTAGAAGTTTATCATGATATATTAGATTCTCTTGCACGTGGTAAGGAGGTTGATGTTTTATATCTGGATCTCGCGAAGACCTTCGATAAAGTTCCTCACCACTTGCTGATTGCAAAATTGGAACGATATGGTATTTCCGGATCCCTGCTACAGTGGTTGAAGAGTTATCTGACTGACAGACACCAACGTGTTGTTCTTGAAGGGATCTATTCCGATTGGCTTCTAGCAAGTTCGGGGGTTCCACAAGGATCAATTCTTGAGCCGCTCTTATTCCTTGTTTTTATCAATGACTTACCCAACTATATCCATTCGGATTCAAACTTGGCACTATTTGCGGATGATTCGAAATTGTATAGAACATTAGACTCCCCATCTTCGCAATCTCTTCTCCAACAAGATCTCAATGGCCTTCACCGATGGAGTTTGGATTCTAGCATGTCCTTCAATGTCCTGAAATGTAAAGCTCTTCATATTTCAAAAAAACGAATCCCTAGTGACCGCTGGTCATATCGATTGGGTTCTGAATACCTAGAATGCGTCCCTTTTATTAAAGATCTGGGCATCGTCATATCCTGTGACTTGCAGTGGGGAAGACATATCGAGGAAATGGTTTCTAAAGCAAACCGGAAACTTGGATTGGTGAAACGAGTTTGTAGGGATATTACAGATATAAGTACCCGCAAACTTCTTTTTTGCTTTCTGGTTCTCCCACATCTCGAATACTATTCCAGCGCATGGTCACCATCGACAGTCAAACATCGAGCTTTGGTTGAAAATGTCCAGAGGCGAGCGACTAAGTTCATCTTAAATTATCCACCACGCGAAGTTTCGTACCCGGACAGACTGAGAAATCTAGGCCTTTTGCCGCTAAGATTTCGCAGAGAACTAAAGGACCTAATACTGTTATTTAAATGTCGTTGCAGTACTATACATCTTAACTGTGAAAAATATTTTTCTCTAGTTTCAAGCCGCTACTCAACTCGAAACTTTGATCCGAAGAATCTTAAAATAATAACTGACCATAAGCAAAACTATTACAGAAACTCTTTTTTTCCAAGAGTTATTGAACTATGGAACAATCTACCACATGATTTAAAAAAATGCCAGTCCGTTTCTATTTTTAAATCAAAACTGCATGGATATTTTTCGGACAGGCTGCAAACGTACACACCGCCGTAGTTGGATTCAGATACAGTCCGACTTCTAAAAACTTGCTTTTTTATTGTATTGTTCTTGTTGGGGTCGGTTGTCAATTGGGAAATTCTCCTGTTACCTTCTCCTGTCATTGTTTCTGTAAATATGTAATTGTCCTTTGTTGTAATTGTGACAAATTAATTAAATTAAAATTAACATTTCATTAAATATGTTGGGTTTTGTACCGTTGCCATCGCTCTTTCTCGAATACGAAGCACAACATACAACTTTGGAGTTTTACAAAAGAATGTATTTAATAATAAAAATCACACATATATATACAAGATTATATCTATAATAAGTATTTTGACATATCACATTTTATTACCATAAATGGTATACAGTTTGGTACATGGAGCAACTATTTGTACTGGAATTTGTGGTATCCAGAGATTACATTTTACATACATATCTATAGTAATCAATGTCATTCATTAACTAATAATCTTATTATCATTGTCAACAGAATATCAGGAGTATATTCTAACACCCCCACTTGCTCTTATGTTCTGAGCATCTATAAATTACATCACAATAATTTTTTAATTTCTAATATATTTGTATTACGCAGCGCATTTATAAACCTAACATGAAGTGCTTAAATTTTTCTAACTTACCTTTGCTAGCTGGCTTTGTGAAGACATCAGCTATATTGTCCTCAGTAGGAACATATTTCAAACTTATGGTACCTACCTGTATCTCGGATCTTATAAAATGATACTTAATATCTATATGTTTCGACCTTTGATGGTGTACGGGATTTCTAGCTAAGTTTATAGCTCCCTGATTATCTACTTGAATAAGTACATTATCATCACTTATACTTACCTTCATGTCGATACATAATTGTCTAAAAAATTTTGCCTCCTGTACGGCATTTGCAAGCGCAATATATTCTGCCTCGCATGTAGAGAGTGCAATTGTTGGTTGTTTACGGCTCTTCCAGGATATTAAAGGACCTGTTGAAGACAACTGAAAATTATAGCCAGTTATACTCCGCCTGTCGGCAACTGATGCGCCCCAGTCGGAGTCACAAAATCCGTTCAACCTTAGCGGAACGTTTGACTTCCTAAATGTCAAACCTTGCTCAGATGTACCCCTCAAATACCTTAAAACGTGTTTAGCCAAGTCGAGATTGGCTCTTGTGGGCTTAGACATTTTCTGTGAGAGCTTCGTCACTATATAGCACAAATCAGGCCTGGTGCCTGTCATAACGTATATTAAGCTCGCAACAATAGCCCTATACTCACCTGGGTCTTCTAAGCTTGGTGATTCTTCATCTGAGACCTTCTCGATACCTAAAACACATGGAGTAGGCTTGGGCTTGCAATCAGCCATCCCAAACTTTAACAATGCTTTTTCAATATATTCCCAGCTAGCACACAACGTTATTGCAACGTTGCATTTAGGTCGTATTTTGGTTAGGTCAGACCTGACCAAAATACGACGTTTACACAACGTTATTTGTCCGTTTAGTTGCATATCATATTACATACGGCGTTATCCAATGTCACATAAAGGTTGTAGTAAGGTTCTCATAAAACGTGTCTCGCAACGTTCACTCGACGTTGATATAACGTTCATCAGCAAATAATATATAAGGGAATTTAGGGCGCTTGTGTAAATACCTTTTTCGCTGTCGAAACGTTAGACCTTATGTTAATATAATAGTATCATGATTTATACAATAAATAACAAAGTTTATCGATATTATTGGACGACAGTGTTCCATAGCAAAGTTGTGCGAACGTCATCACTGGACGTTTATACGACGTAAGGGAACAACGTTCTGTGAACCTTTTGTTTTACGTTCCGAAAACGTTAATAGGAACGTTTAAATAACGTTTGACCTATCACGTTTTTAAACGTCATTTAATAGGTATATATATTATCAAAATGGTTTTGTAAGTTTTCAATGATATCCACCCTTTTCTAAAACTAATCTTTTAAAATTTGAAGATTTCTGAGAGGACATGCAGTCAAACTGTATAACTGATTACAATAATCAATATGGCTGGAATTTTCCGATACAAAATTAGGAAACAAATCCAGCCGATTAATAGGAACCGAATCCAGCCGATCTTTGTGAAGTAACAGTAAATATATAGGCCACAAATTATTATAAGAATTCGTTCAAGAAATTCAGCTTAAACATATTTGAATTAAAAAACAGTAAAAGGTAAAATATGTAAATTATAGGCCTAATCGCAGGTTAGGGATGATGACGTCATCCTACCGCCCACGCGAAGCACGTGCCAAAGCGCGCATGGTTTGATGATTATTCGATTATTCGAGCGTCGCTTTATTTCCTTGCTGGACTGTTTATCGAATTTATTGGAAATCTTTACGAATCCTTTCCCATCCGTTCTTTATTCGACGAAAGAAACACTTACAAGGTTTGTTAAAGTTCTTATATGTATTATATTTACTATATTTTTCAGATCATATATGTTTATTAAAGGTGAATAAGGTCATATTAATCATTCAATAATTCAAACAGTTTAGTTAATAATTTGCGTGTTTATTGCCGTTGCATGTTCTAAACAGGCTATTAATTGTGAGAAACACTTAACTTTCTTTAGACTTTAGGTGATAATTGCTTCAAATTTATCTATTCATACTGTTAGTTGTGTGATTGTGTGAATTATTTGTCAAAAATCAGCCCGATAATATCAACATTTGGCAATTTGCTTATTTCGTCTGTGTCAACCTGGTGTTATTGACAAGCTGTTTACATCCATCATCTTAAGTTTTTAACATGGGAAGCTATTCAGTAGCACAAATGACGATGAAAATATTTCTTTGGTGCATTTTCAGTATAAATAAGTTAAATGAGCAAGTATACCCATAAGATGATTGAAATATATTATGGTTGAAAACAGAAAACTATTAGTCGGCCATTAAAATGGCTGCGAAGTAGGTTTGAGCAACTGATTTAGAAATACTTAACCTGGATAGTTTCTATACCTACAGAAAATGAAGCCAACTTTTAATCCGGCCACCATTTTGAACTGACCACCATGGCTGCCATTCTTCATTATTATGTCCTATATTAATTTCCTGCATGATGTCCTGTTTTACTTCTTGTTCTTTATTGCAGACTTCATTAAGACTTCAACAACTAGCGATAGATCCTAGGCTCAGAAATAGCTACAACACGCTAAGATATGCCACAAAACCCCCTTTCAAGCCTGATTTATTCACCAACTATTGCCCCTACATGTGAAACTATCTCAGTTCCGGTTCTTGTAATTTTGTTGATTACGATACCTTAGAGAAACACTAGTGGTCACTTCAAAAAAGAGGCCGGATTAAAAGTTGGCTTCATAATTATTCTGTAGGTATAGAAACTCTATCAAGGTTAAAGCTGCGGTACAGTCCGCATGTAAACGAAGGCTTTCTTTACATTTCGGTATCCAAAATATTGAAATTTTTTCGACAACTTTATATTTTCATGATTCTCGAGTATAATAAATTATCAAGAGACAACAATCAAGCCTTGCAAGAACATAAAATGAAATAAAAACCTAAATAAACTGTTTGTAAATAAAAAGAGGGCTCCTTTGTGCACATGTGCAGATTGGACTGTACAGCATTTTAAACTATTTCTAGATCAGTGGTTTAAGCGTGCACAGCATGACAGTTGTCACACATTTTTTAAATCAATTGCTAATTTAATTAAATAGTTATATTACTTGAAATGCTTAGAGTATGTGATGTTACTCTGAGTGTATATCCACACCTGGCAGGCTTGAAAAATATGCCTGGCCACAGTGGGAATCGAACTTACGACCTTTGGAATACTAGCCCAATGCTCTGCCAACTGAGCTACATGGTCAGGTCGGTTCGAATATGCTATATTTCGGAACTGAGTCTAGTTCCTTCAATATCAGTGTAATCTAATAATCATGATATTTGATGTGTTGGTATAATGTACTCAGGTGAATAAAATGCTTGTGTGATGTTACACTGAGTGTATATCCACATCGGATATAGGAATATTTTTCAAGCCTGCCCCGTGTGGATATACACTCAGAGTAACATCACACAAGCATCTTATTCACCTGAGTACATTACACCAACACAGCAAATATCATGATTACTTAAAATATTAGGTTTTTTGGGTGTAATGTTATTACTTGGGCGACCTACTGTCGACCAAGTCATAAATTTGCTTTGTTTTTCTCTGGTGTTGAGTTTTATCCCCATGATGCTTGAGTTTCTCGCCTGTTTCTCCCGTGCCGGAGATGAGGCTGGCTTTGAGGCATGTTTTCCATCCATGATATGTCATATTTGCCATGATATGTGCTGTCCTTGAAGTAAAGTTAAACTTAATTGTATTCAAAGCAAAACTGTAATTTAAAGGTACCCCAATGGCTTATGTGCAATTATTTATGTAAGAATGTTTTCGTATCTTGTCTTGGCCCTAATACCTGTACATCTGGTTGTCTAAGTGTTGACGACCAGGTCATGTTTTCGCTAGCTACGACGTACTCTGGTTTTATAAATGAATGCAAAGCCCAGTCGAAATGTGTTATTGTATTCACCACCCAACATACTATTTTGCCAAAACACGCTACTTAATAACGCAATGACATTCCCAATAGAGTGAAATGTGGATAACAAGTGCATTTCTATGCCAACTAACATTTGTGCACCAGCTATTTATTTCAATGCCAACTAACAAATCTATGCCAACTATAAACATCTGCTGTAACTTGAAATTGCCATTTTTTATATGCAGTCTCACTGCCAGCCTGAGTCCTTGGTTAATAAAGTTTTGTTAGTGATTTGCTGTCGCTTGGTACTAAAGATCATCTGTCATAGGTAAAATATTGTCTATTCTCATGACAAAGTTCATTTGAACGTGATTGGCTGATGAGATTAAAACCTGTCAAGTGCTCTTGACAATCATTGAACTTTCTAGGTAAAAACATTGAACTTTGTCACACGAATGGGCACTATTTTTATGAGCGACTGTTCATCCTTAGTTGCAAGCGACAGTACTAGTACCTCATCTCTTAGGAGAATACAAGGTAGAGGATGTAGCCATATGCCTACTAAATTTGTTGATTTTGAGCACACAAAATGTGCAGTGTTATTTATTATCAACAACACTAACAGTCTGGTCCGTCTGTATCAGCGTGCTTACCAGAGTCGCCCAAGTAAATGCCTACCCGGCGTCTTGTTACATTTATATCCAGGTCTAATCCAATGCAATACAGTTGATAAGGTTTGGAATGAAAAATAAGTGAATTTCTGTATTTGTAGATTATGCAGACTAATAGAATTGGTTATAAGAGGAGATGGATTTCTGCAGCTCGTGCATTGTCTAGGAACATAAGCACTAGTACATGTGCCCCAAACCAAGATGAATTCCCAAAAGAACCCTCTGTTGACCATGGTAATGCAAGCCCTTTAGAACACTCTGACATTGAAGACTTTGAATTGGTCGCACCATCCCCAAAGCGATTAAATAATTCCAACAATAATTGTCCTAACATTGATCACATACATTCTTTGGAGGGAAATTGTTCTACTTCATCATCTGACTCTGAAAGCTGTGGATCTGATGAAAAGTTAAGAGTAGATTTGGCAGAGTGGGTGAATGCCTATCAAATCAAACATAATGCTGCTGACAGGCTTCTTAAAATACTTAAGGAGTCTGGTCATCACAATTTGCCTGGGTCAACTAGATCTTTAACTAAAACTGCTAGGCATGTGCCCTTAACTCAAAAATCTGGCATGGATTATGTATATTTTCCTGTTAAAGAAGAGCTGATGAAACAGTTCTTGCGTTACCCAAAAACAATGACTGATAATGTGACCATTCTGGAGATCTCACTTAACATAGATGGTCTGCCATTGTTTAAGAGCTCCAGCAAGACTCTTTGGCCAATTCTATGTGGAATCATGAATGTTGAGCCTGTTGCTGTCTTTCCTGTTGCCCTGACTTATGGTACATCTAAACCAACTGATTTAGAATGTTTGCAAGATACGATAGATGATTTAAACCTTCTTCTAGAGCACGGCCTTGTAATTGGCGAAAGAGTTATACCAATTTCTTTCAGATGTGTTATGTGTGATGCACCTGCTAAGGCACTAGTGAAAGGAACGAAATTATATTCTGGGTATTTTGGATGCGATAAATGTGCCCAGAAAGGACAATGGTTTGGTAGAATGACTTATCCGGATACCAGAAATCTTGAACTGAGAACAGACGTATCTTTTCGCAACCACTCGAATAGTCCCCACCACAAGGCCGAGTCACCATTTTGCCAGATGCCGATAGATATGGTTGACATGTTTCCAATTGATTATATGCATCAGCTATGTCTTGGAGTAATGAAGAAGTTATTACTGATTTGGATTAGGGGAAATAGGGATGTGAAAATTTCTGCCGGCCAAGTTGAAGAAATAAGTGAAAGGTTAATTCACCTTAAGCCAACTATTCCCAGTTGTTTTGCCCGGAAGCCACGTAGTTTAAGTGAGGTAGATCGGTGGAAGGCCACTGAATTTAGGCAATTCCTTCTGTATACTGGTAAAATAGTTTTAGATGGAATCCTGAGGCCAGATCTATATGCCCATTTTATGAGCCTTAGCATTGCAAGTAGCATATTAGTTAGCCCCTCGCTTGTGCAAACCTACTGGAAGTATGCCAGTGATTTGTTGGTTTATTTTGTTGAACAGGGCAGGCTTTTGTGTGGCAAGGAATTCTTGGTGTATAATGTTCATTCTATGCTTCACCTTGCTGACCGAGCAAAAGAGTTTGGCAGTTTAGGTACGTGTAGCAGTTTCC